AGGGACTTTAGATATGTCCAATGTTCCATTATCACATCAATAGTGATAAACCTCACTTTACAGGAAGACACAAATACCTAAGTCTAAATTTGGGACAAAATATTGTGTTACTTTTTGTTTTTTCTTACAGGATGACTGAGTGTTTCTTCAAAATCCCCTTTGTGTGTCTGTATAGTTTGCAGATGTTGCCTGTGGTGATGTCACGGCAATGTTAAACGGATCCATCAACACGCCATTCAATCCTACAAGGTAGGACTGCTTCTGCTTCTCTCACAGTTTATGACTTTTACTGAGTAAAGTAATATTTTTCTTTCAGTGGTAATTTACAGCCACCAAACAATTTAACAGTGATATATGTGCTGAGAGTTAAGTTATCATTGCAGATTAAAAGAAGTGCTATTAAAAAACAGTTATTATTGTCTTTGTTGCACAAGGTCAAAGGTTGTTGTGAAAAATATGTTCTTGCTCTACAAACCAAATCAGGTTTAAATGTTTGTCTCCACTCTGGGTCATTTTGATGTGGGCTGCTTCATTTTCATTTATGTTTCAGTCACACTAGAGTAAAACTAGGACTGAAGCGTCCTTGCAACTCAGAAAGAAATCAGCACACTTGAAGTTGCAGTTGAAGAGCTGACTGCATTGAATTTTCTTAGTTCAATTCAATTTTATTCATATAGTCCCAAATCACAACAACAGTTGCCTCAAGGCACTATATATTGTAAGGTAGAGCCTACAATGAATAAGTACCAGCTAACTTATTAATGCAGACAGATTCAACACACTGCACTCAGTCTGTCTTTCTGCTGTAGAGGACTCGAGTCGACTCGCTGCCCGAGGGTTTTGTTCTAGATTGGTATAAAAAGGCAAAGTTGATGGTCACCTTTGTCACTTCGCAGTTAAATTGCTGTCCTGCAGGAATTATATCAATATTTAGTTTCTTTTTCAAATCTATGAAATTCTGGCTGCACTCTGAATATAAGTAGTAATAAAAAGATTTGTTATCTAACATAAAATTCTGTGTGTGCTGACAGACAGACACAAACAGATTGCTTGTAGATGCCATATTGGCCTTATTTAATCACAAACTGATAGGAGACTGATTCTGTCTAATTGCTGTTTTATCGCCTGGTCCTCATCTTAAGAGCAGCCATTTCAAAAGCAGTCTCATGGCTCAAGTTCATTGTAGAGCGTCACAATACCTCCACTAATGCCACGGTCTACAACCCCTAGTGTGACTGCAACATAAGGCGCTCTGCATTGATAAGTGACTACTAATCCTTTTAGTACTGCAGAAATTCTTTAAGAGTGTGTCGTAGGCTCAAGTGCCACATAGATGAAAAGAAATCAGTGTTGTGGTGACAGCAGTATCTAGTTGAATTTTGTACTCTAAGCTGCTGTTCTTTTTTTTCTTTTCAGTATTTTTGCAAGCGTTGAGGTGCCGAGGTTTAATGCCTCTAGGGTCAAGAAGCTGAATGTTGTTATGGTCATACAGAAGAACAACATGTAAGATTTTCTCTTTATACACAAATCTGTCACCACAATGTGCCTCCAATATTTTAAAATTGTTCCTGTATTCACTGCTTCTGTTCTGTTTCTAACTTCTTCAGATCAAACTGTAATCATTCATCCTTGAAGAATTTGACGCAAGCGCTAGATAAAGGGATAACATACAGCTGCAAAGACGTGTCTGAGTAAGTACATGTGTGTTACAGTATCTGTCCTCACAAAACACAACTGACCTCTTGTTATTATCTTGTATTCAAACAGATCTCGTATCCAGGAATGCGGTGCCAAACCACAGATAGCGTGTGGAGACTGCTGGTGAAGATGTCTGATGTCAGTCACAACATGGTAGCATTCAGTTACAGAAACATTTCTAGTGTTTCCTTTTAACTTTTTAAATAAAATTTGAGAATTTTTGTACATGTAAAATGTATTTTTCTAAACATGTATGTTTCTAATACATTCCACTATGACAATGTACATTTAAATTTTATGGGATCTGAAGTTAAACTTCTTTGTTTTTTTAAACTAAACAATTGAGTACCATGCCATCTCCTCGTTGGCAGAATATGCACTATTTTTTCAATAAAATGCTGATTAAATGTTCTAAGTTTCAATTAATGTTTTCGAGTCATTTTAAGCATGTACATTTCTAAAAACATACCTAGATATAAAAACACACAGTGGAAGACTATCAGTCATGTATTGGTCTCCCCAGAGCCCAAACCTCAACAGCAGTGTGGGAATCATCTTGACAGAGAACAGAACAAAACGCAGCCAACATCTAAAGAAGAGCTTTGAATGTCCTTGAAGAAGCCTTGAAAACACTTCCTGGAGACTATTTAAAGAAATAACAAGAAAGCTTGCCAAAGAGAGTTCAGGCTGTGTTGAAGAATAAAGGTGTTCATACCAGGTATTGAATTTAAAGGTCATTAAAATTGAACAAACTCTTGTCTTATATACTATATTTTAACGTCAGATGGATTCATATAAGGGTCGATATATTATAATTAGTGCTAAGGGTGAAAGTGAAAGCAGTTAACCTTTTATTTTAAGTTGTAAAGACCTAAACTACATCCATGGTTGGTTTCATAATAACAGTGTTGATTGAGTGGACGAGCACACTGACAGGTTTGACAAACAATGACTAAATTATGATGCAGTCAATGTCAACATGGAGCAAAAGTGTTTGCAGCATTTAATTTGGACACAACATCTTATTTGTATACTGGACCATAGTAGTGCTATAGTGGGTAAAAATACAATAAAACTGCACTGAGGACAAATTCCTTATCTTTAAAGTATTTACCTCACAGATAGAAACATGGGGTTTTGCCAGTGAGCCTTTAGATTGGTAATTCTTCTTTAGAATCCTCCTGAAACAAGACGAGACTTCCAACATGAAAGTGAAATTCATTAAGTAAATCCAAACAAATTCAAGTATTAGAAAATAATAATAATAAAAAAAAAGGTTTATTGACCTGTACAGACAATGACCAGTTTTTTGACATTTGGCAATGTATAAATCAGAATTGTTGTCTGAAGGCCAACAATAATTTGCCCCACCAGGAAGGCACCAGGAGTGACCCAGTACACACCTGAGCAGCCAGCCATGGACATTGAGAATCATCAATCCACTGGTGGGGACACCAGCCACTGGCAGGGTGTGTGGTGGGAGGAAATAGGCCCACCTCAAAGAGCCTGAGATGTTCTGAGAGGTGGAGTCTAAGGCCTGACCTGAAACATAAACATAGACACACGGGCTACACAAGACACAAGCATCATCCCCACCCTCATCTACACATATACAAATACTCACCCAGTCGCCCAGCATCTAGACACACCAAAATGAATGCTGTACGCACACTCACACTCCCATACACCCTCTATTCACTCAGGTCCAGGCACCAATACCCCAACATTGGCAATCTGTCCCAGACCAAGGATATGGCCCCTACAGCAGCAGACTAGCCCACCAGCCCAGACCCCGACTGGATGGCCAGCTCCTCCTCCATCCAGTCCCAGACAATGAAGAGAGAACAGAGGTGTGAAAAGACCCAGTGCCTCACTCCGCCTGCTCGTATGTGGCTGAATGAAGAGACCTAACTCTGGATGCCATTCAGTATGCCCACCCCCAAAGCCCTATATGTATGTGTCATTAGAATGTAGGTAATGAAAGCATCTAAGTTGTGGAATAACATTGAGACGCAGGTGGCCAGAAGCGGAAAGAAAAGGAATGCCTCACCTGCACCTCAGTGATGTTCCTGATCCACTGGGATTTTCCCACAGAAACACTTCTAGAGATTACACAGAATGTTCTGAATAACAGAAAATATCCAGAGAACGACAGTTCTCAGGAATCCATCCTGTCTTGTATCAACTGATGGTGGTGTTGGTGTAATGATATGAGGGATATTTTTTTGACAACTCTGTACAACTTCACAGCTACATAAATGTTGCTGCTAACAATGCCCACCCCTTTGCAAACACAGCTATAAAGGAATGGGCAGCTCAAATAAGCTCAAACTGCCTTCTTGAGCATAACAATGAGTTCACTGTATTCACATGGTCTCCACAGTCACCAGAGCTCAGTCAAAAAGAGCACCTGTGGGATGTGGTGGAATGAAAAACTGAAATCACGGCTCTGCGGCCAACAAATCTGCAGCATCTGTGTGATGCTGTCTTGTTGATAGAAACCAAAATCGCAGAGGAATCTTTCCAGCATCTTAAAAGTACGCCAAAATGAATCCAACCCAGCACAACCACGGAATACCTAAAAAAGAAAAAAATTCACCTTCACCTCTGTGAGGGTATGTATGTTGATTCATTTGTCATAACAGGTTGAAAATGTAGTTGAAATAAAATTGAGTATATTTCTGAAAATATTTTCTGTTGTTTCATCACATGAAAGATAACGTTTTAAACTTTTATCTTACATATATATCTCTATATATCTCTATATATCTCTCTCTCTATATATATATATATATATATGGAGAGAGAGAGAGAGAGAGAGAGAAAGTGCCGTCATCCTGCGTCTTCATAAATAGACGTCCAGCTCGCGCGATAGTGACAGTAAACAACATTTTGTTGTTTGCACGCTTGTTAGACAGAAGTCTACATTTTTACGACTTTTTACGCATTTATAATGGAGCATGAGCAGTCTCGTCGCCTAGAGAAACGGCGGAGGAAACGCTGCGTAATATTAATTGTCA